TGCCTCCGCTTCCTTCCTTGTCGTTGTTCGCCTGCTCTCCACGCTCTCGACACTAACACGCCACACAGTTGTCGCGGCCGGTGGTACGTTTTCTCCCCCATCCGGGCCGTACACCTCCTCCGGTGCGCATACGATCTCCCACTTGTCACCTGTGCACATCAGCGACACAACTTTTTGAAAGCACAGAAAAGATTGCTGCAAATTATGCCCTTCCGCTTTCTTTCCATTCACATAAGTTGAAAAGAACCGGGTGCCATCGGAAAGAAAACCCACAATGTGAAACCGCAATTTCCCTTCTTCGCCAACACACCTCAGTTCATTTCTAAGCTCACGCCACTTGTCGTCTGTCTCGTCTTCGTCGCCGCGCCAACGGTTGTCATTGTCTACCTCGGGCAGACCAATCTTGACTTGAAACTGCGTGGGAGTAGTACCAGAAATGGGCACTCTTCGCGTGATGGCACGGAAATGGATGCGCGCCCCTCTGTAGTGGGTAAAACTGGGGTCCAGTGAAGCGTTTGCAAGGAGCGCCTCACCCTCCCGTGACCAGCGCTTGGTCAGATAATCGGTGTACCTTGTTTGCAAATCATCATGATTCGCGAACATCATGTACGCGTCGTAGCGCCAATTACCAACAGCAAGTAACAGCACCAGCACGGCAAGCCACACCGCGTAACTTTCCATCACACCACCCATAAGCCGAGAAGGGGGCGGCTGAACATGTTGTGGGTCCGTGTTAACGTCATGCGATGTTCTTGTCGCGGCAGCTGCAGTTTCTGGCAACGCATCCGAAAGAGTTTCTTCGCCCTCCGATGCGGAGACAACACCACCAGAGGACTTTTCAGAGTCCGTGCTCATGAGTGACGTCCTGTCGCAAAGCTAAGAAGCCGCACAGACTTCGCTCCCTCTTCAGTTCGTGGGTTTTGAATGCACCAAAAGCAAACACACACACACACAACGCACGGAGAGAAAAGAAAAAAGAAAAGCAATGACTGACGTAAAAAATGAGCAAGAAAACAATCAACATGGAAATATAATAGAAAACAAACAAACAAAATATGCCGCCTGACCCACTTCTTATGTGCTTAAGGTGAACAGGAAAAAGAAAAGAATATCCTCTTTTTTCTCCATTTTGCATCCCTTCCAATCGCTCTCATTTTTACAATTTCATTATACTCATGGCACTTGTCAGCTCCCCAAACAATCCAATGAGCTAAGACATGCAAAAAAAAAAAAAAAAAAACCAAATAATAAAAAAAAAGAAGAATTACTGCGTGTATTCTATTTCGCCCATTCGATCCAACACGCACACGTACATATTATATATGTATATATATATAAACAGCCACGCCTCCAATTGCATTGCATACAAGGCTGATTCGCACAATTGAACATTTATTCCTCTCGAACTCACGTATGCTCCATAATTACATGTCTTCTCGGTCTTCTTCGGCCTTCCGCAGTATTTCATCCACTTCCTCTGCTGTACGTCCCTTACCACCGTCCTTGATGCTGATGAGCTCGACGTCAAATTCAAGGGGCGAATAAGGGGGAATCATCCCGCCTCCTCCCGTCACACCGTACGCCAAGTCGTAGGGGATGAAGAGGCGCCAACGGTCACCCTCACGCATCAGCTGCAGCGCTTCCGTCCAGCCCTTGATAACTTCATTAGGGCGAAATGTGGTGGGCTTTCCGCGTTCCCGTGAGCTGTCAAAGACGGTGCCATCGCGAAGGCGGCCCGTGTAGTGCACCTCGCATTTATCATCTATGGCAGGAGCGCGTTTGCCGGAACCACGAGCAATTCGCTGAAAAACCAAACCGGATGGAAGCTTGACGGCATCCGGCTGAGCCGCCTTTTGTTCCATAAAGAGACGACCAACACGCTTTCGGTAGTTATTCATGCGCTCTTCGTGCGACGCCGCATCCCCACTCACAGTCTGCACGCTGGTTATACATGAAAGAAACAGGACGCCCAAAAGGCAGAAGGCCATTTTGGAAAAATAATTCTCTCTGTGCATGTCACTTATTTGCGTTTTTTTTTTTTATGCTAATACGGCTATAATTTGCAGAAATCAAATAGTTGTGTGCGTAACTAAACCAATAAGGCAAAGAAACACAGCGATTCACCATGAGTGGAACAGACATATGCACAGTAAAGGCAACAACCAAAAAACAAACATTAGAAGGGAAAGCCACAACACTGGTCTGTACAGCGAAAACGACCAGTATGTTCCTCGCTTTTCCTTCCCCCCTCTCTCTCTCTCTCTCTTTCCTTCTCTTGTTGGCACTCACTTTTGCTTTTCCGTTTTTCTTGGACTTCCTTCTGCCTGTGAGCAAAGAGAAAAAAAAAGAGTAATGCGGCCGCAAGAGCACGCTGTTCCTTTTTTACATTTCAACCGTATCTCACTGCAGCCTTCCTATGGCCAGATCATCCACGGGAACATAAAACACACGTTCCTCAAATGTGTCAACAGTGCGCCATATTAAAAAGGCGCAGTCACCAATAAGAAAGTAGACAAAGTACTGGCCATCGTGACCAACGTACGAGCCAAAGGAGCGGCCTACAATGCAATGAAAGCGGGAACCGTATTTGCTGTCGAGCTCACGCTTGATAAACTGGGCAATGGCGGTTTGTTCATGTAGTCCCAACTCATGCAACGCATACGCGGCGCAGTCTATGCAGTCTTGTTGAAGTTCCCGCGACATGGCGGATTCCTTCACCACAGCGACGGTGCCCGCCATCCTCCTCGCACTCTGATGCGTTCTTTTCTCCTTTTCTTCCCCCCTCCGCCCCCCACTCCTGGACTTACCAATCAACCCTCCAACACAAACGACGGCGCTGCGTTATGGGGCTGACAAAAATTAAAAAGGGGCAGTTGGGAACCAAAAAAGGATGCAGCTGCATGCAAATTGCAGAATACACAGCCAAAACAACAACAACAACAACAACAACATCAAACACAAACACACACATACACACACACAAAAAAAGATATCTTTTCGTCCCATCCTCTAACGCGCCTTACAGCAGAATTCTTTTTTTCGTTTTTTGTTCTTTCTTTGCTCTCCATAAATCCCCGTGCGGCAGGCAGTGTGCATGTCATGGGTGTAGATAACCCTGGTAAAACCTCACATCCCTCGCAACAAATTCCTCCAAACCGTCTAACTTCAACCAAACTTTCCTCCCGCACCGTGGAAACGCAAGAACTATCGGCATCTTCCTTTTGCCTTTTGTGCCATTTACACGCGTTGGAACACCATCGCCTGCACTCCCGTCATCTTCTGCTTCCTCACTTTCTTCTTGTGTAGCTGTTCCCTGGGGCTCTAGAAACGAAAGCCATCGTCTTCTACTTCGCACAGCTTCCCCAAACAACACATTTTTAATTTCGGCTTCAATGTGCTGTGGCCACAAATATGATTCCGCCATCGACTCCAAACGGTTGCTACTGTTGTTACCACCGTCAATTGTGGTGGCTCCGTCATCAAGCGTGATGGTCTCCCAACGCGAGGTATTGAAATCAAACAAAGAATTCCTCATACCGGATGAGGCGGCCTGACTCCCTAAAGAGGACAAACAATTTATGCGTATTCGGCGATTTTCGTCGATGACACGGGAGGGCGAGTAGTATCCATTCCAATCTTTGCCATTTGTAGTCTTGTCATCTCCTGTTTCTTCCACGGAGCATGGCAATGTACCCTCTTCTCTTCTGTCTTCAGCATTCTCTCCGTTGCCAGTCGCTGCAGCAACACCTTCCCCATCAGAATCAGCGTTAGATAAAGAACCGTTGGAGTTGATTTTGTCCCTGGTGGCACGCCACAAGCGCCAAATTTCCGCCTCTTTTCTTGCACCAACTTCTTCTTCCAGTTTAAGTAAAAAAAGTTTCTCTTTTGCCAGCTTCTGCAGGTTGCAAGGTGTCAACGGGGTTAAAAGGCTTTTAAGGCACCGCCGTTTCTCATCTTGCCTTGCCAGTAGACTCTTCTTTCTGCACATTAAAGCTACACGAACAAATTCCACCTCTCCGCCGGAGGCAATATGTGAAACCCAGGGTGGATTTACTACCCCTCTGCCAGCATCCACAGAAACACAACCATCATTTACATCTTTTACGCTTTCTTCACGGGGCAACGGCGCATCCCTGTTGTCTTCTGTCTCTCTTGATGAGGTGGATTGATCTGTGGTAGTCTGTAAAATATTTACACATGCTTCCCCGCCCGCTTCCAATCCCGCATCCACATCTGGTTCATTCTCCTTCTTCACACGAATTATCTGCGGATTTTCGACATTATTTACCAATACGCATCCATGTGACTGCGGCACAGATGGACCCGTTAAATCTGACAGCATCTTTGTCTTATCCGTGGGGTTCTCAAGTTCCTTTCGGCGTCTTGTCTGTTCCCTTGCGAGCGACTCAAATTTGCCACGTAAAATCGGCATGAGATTAAAGGCAATAACACCAGCACTCTCATCGTCCAAGAAGGCGAGCGGGTAGGCCCGCTGCAGTTCCTCTTCATGCTCCACGTAGAGCTTCTGCTGGTCCGCGAGAAACTCCTGCTCGGCCGCGTATTGCCTCTCCATACTCCCCGTAGCAGCCATACCATTACGCACAAAGTTATCCAACCCCGTTTTTCGCGTCCCTTCACTTTTTATCCGCCTACTTTGCGTGCGGTCAAAATGTTCCCTGTCACCTGCGCGCTGCAGCTGAAAGCGTGCTCGTGCGGCAAACACTTCATCCTCTTGCTGTGCGACACGCTCCAACAGGAACCGACGGAAGTTCCGCATGGCAACCTCGTACACATCGCTTGTTCCACACGGGGCTAGCGTGTGCCCTTTGCAAATGGCTTTCTTAGTCATTTCCCTGCGTTCTTCCCTTCCGCCAATTGTATGTGGCTCTATTTCTACTCCCTCAGGGTGCAGCGCGGTGCGGCTGGACAAAACCACACGATGACACCACCCCACAGACGGGAGCAGACAGTGGCGCTCCCCATCAAAAAAAAAAAAAAAAAAAAGAGAAATAAAAAGAAATGCTTCCAGTGTAGAATGGCATACTTCATATTTCAAAAGTTCTTCTCGTTGAGAGAAAACAACCCCGCCCACTCCGCCAATCCCACTCGTTCGTTTCCCTTCTCGTTTCGTTTGGATTTCTTTCTTTTCTTTTCTTTTCATGGTTGCACTCACTACTTCTCTTCCGCACCGTATAACACCACCTCTTACAGGGGCGCAGCGGCTATGGTTCCGCCTTCAGCGTCGCGTGGGTGCATTTGGAAGAGTACCATGCGGGACTGTTGACACTTTTCTGGTGTTGTGAATGGCAAAACTCGTTCTAACGACATGATTTCCTCGCTCAGTGCCCTCATGACATCCGCTGGTAAATTCCAACTTGAAACAGGTGCCAAGAAGTGATCATAGCGCTTTGAAAACATTTCTTCATGGACCCCCATGAGTTCCCACTGTAGTCCATATATTTGGGACTCATACTCATCTCGCTCCAACGTACTCAATGGCACCTGCAATACCCGTTCACGCTCGCGACTGTGACGCATATCTTTAATCTCATGCTGAAGCTGACGAATTTCATTAAGAAGACGATTCTTGTATTCCCGTTGCTGTGTGAGAGCTTCTTCGTACTCCGCTGTTGCCCGCTTCCACTTTGCCTCCTGCTCGTGACGTTCACTCTCCCGCTCAGCATAAAGTTGCTCATATCGCTCCTTAAGAATCCGCAACGCCTCCTTCTCCTGTTGCTGCTGAAAAGCATGTAGATGCATGTCTTCCACATCTGCCTTAGCGGAGTCTTCAGCGGTGGCCTTTTGCCGTTGAGTGATCTCCTCCTCTAGCGACCGAATCTTCTCCACCATCCGCACCCGTTCTTCCTCGTGCTCGCGGCGCAAATTCTCCACAATTTGAGCGAGATCGTCAGCGTGCTCTCTTTGCCGGTGGATCTCATCCTCTTGAAGCTCACAAAGGTCCCTCAGGTCCGCACACTGCTGCTGCAGACGGTGGATTTCCAAATCTTTTACCTCAACCGCCTTGTCTTCATCCGTCTGCGTCGTCGCTGTAACATTATTTCTGCATGCCGTCATGGTCAACATTATCATCCGTGACTTTTCCTCCCGCTCCCTTTCAAGTTCAACGCTTTTCGCATCATGCAGTGCCATGACGTTGCGAAGTTCTTCCCTCGCGTCCCGCAGCGCTGCCTCTCTTTGTTGTAACTCCTCCTGCATTCGTGTCAAGTCCGCGCGCAGCGGCTCCACCACCGCCAAAAACTCATCGCCTTTACGCACCGTGCCGCTAGGCCCTTCCCCCTCCGACATGTACGGCACAACAAGCTCCGGCCGAACAAACACCCCCTGCCCTGCTGGACACGAAAAATACGACTTTCCCATCACACTGCCATCGTTGCGGCCGATGGTGCCAAACAATTCAATGCCCATCCACAAACCAGGAGCAAAGTCTGTTGACCCCACAAAACGAAGAACACCCCGGCGCCTCTCCGTCTGCGGCGGCACCGGCAACACCGATACAAAGTCCATCAGCTCGCATCCGCTCGCCTGCGCCATTCTTCTCCAAAGTCTCCACCGCCGCCCCACCACCCTTTACAAAGAGCCGCAGCAAGAAGAGAAACCACCGAAAGCAGGAGAGGAGCTATGGGCACAAATCACCCAATCGCAACGCTAACACCAACAACAACGCCAACAACGACAAAGAGAAGCAAAAACATGGGCAACGCAGGAAAAAAGAAGACAAAAAAGCAAAAAAAAAATGGAGGTTTATAGAGTTTGTCCCGCAAAATAGCTGCGCAAATTTGCTGTTTCAACACCCAAATTCCGGTTGCTTTTCCCTGTTCTCCCTCTCATTTTCCACGCCTGGGCAAACCACACCTTGAAAATGGCACACACACACACACACAACAAAACAAGGGGCATGCAGAGAAAAAAACAAAGAGTAAGACACTGAAGAAAAAGGAATAAAAAAAGCCAACTGAAACCGTCAGAAAATAATCATTCCCCTTCTCAGTCAACAGAGGAAAAAAAAAAAAAAACAACAGCATTCCAAACAAAACTATTCCTCCTACAAAAAAAAGAAAAAAGAAAAAAAAAAGAATACGAATAATAGCACACGCAAAACAAAACAAAAAAAAAAAAACAACAAAAAACGACACCGCTTCGCAACAGGCCATACACTGAAAAAAACAACAACAACAACAACAATAACAAAAATAAAAACTGCAATGCATCTGAAAATAAGATGGCGAAAAATCTAAATTACCGTACGATCTGATGGTGATGATGATAAACCGTAAGATACTTGCACACCAAACTAAAGGTGGAGAGAAAGAAATTAGCTTCTTTCTGTCCGTTTCTCACTAATTTCTCCACACCCAAATATCCCCCTCCCTCACCTTCTTTTCTTCCCTTTTTTTTTTTTTTTCCTTTTTCGCTTTCGCCTCTTTGACTCTTTTAATTAACTCGACGAGGAAGCCTTGGAGTGCCGCATAAGCCACTTGAGGGTCACATCGATGTTCGTGTAGTCCTTCGCACTCACACTATAACACGCCGTCTCACGGTCGGCTGCAAGTTTCAAAAGATACAGCTCCGATATGAGAGTTTCTGCCGAACATGCCCCTTCCAAATCGTTTTTGTTTGCAAGGACGAGCAGTGGAATCCCATAGAGAGAAGGCCGCCCCAGTAGGTCGTGCAGACTACGCCTCGCTTCTTCAAAGGAGGAAATATCGGATGCGTCTACGACAAACACAATGCTCTGCACGCCACGGCAGTATCGTTCCCACATGCCACGAAAGCGTGGCTGGCCACCGATGTCCCACACCTTGATGCAGACGTTGCCCCGAGTCACTTTGCGAGTGTTGAGGCCTATTGTGGGAATCGTGTCGTGCAGCCGCACGGACTCAGTTCCATCTGTGATGGCGGCCAGAAATGTCGTCTTGCCGGCGCCCTGGAGACCGACAAGAGTGACCTCCATCTCCTGCTGCCAGAAGAGGCCCCGAATCCATTCCAATATCCAAGCTAAGAAGCCCATCAGACCGCCGTCCAACCAAACAGCAAAACAACAACAACAAAAAAAAACGATGAGCCACACACAATTGGAAATGGCGCTGCTCCCACCAGTTGGAAAAAAATCAAACAAAGAAAAAAGAAGTTAATAAAAGAAAAGAAGAAGATTCCGCCGCGTAGTGTCCTCATGCCAGCAGATACACATGTAGAGAGGGGTCAACACACACACCAAAAAAAAAAAAAAAAAAAAAATGGAAAAAGATAAGTAAAAACTGACAACAGTACAAATTAATCACCAAACAAGTCGTTTCTTTCTGTTCATTTGCTTTCCCCTTAGGCGGGAGGCAAAATAAACCAAAGGAATGTAAAAAAAAAAAAAGAAAAAAAAGAAAAACAAACCCGCTTCCCACTTTTTGTGCATGGCAGCAGCGTTATTTCTTTTACAATCTTCGTGGAGACAGCGAGAATGAAGAAGAAGAGGAAGGAAGGAGCGTCAAATCGTTTTCATAGACGACTTTTTGAAGTCGTTTTTGAATTTCTGACATGAACATCGCTCGCCGTTTTCGCACAGTCTCTTCTTGCCTCTTGCGTTCCGAGATCTTCTGCTCCAGTTGCGCAATGTCTTTGGAAAGTTTGGGTTTCACGGTCTCGTCAATAAAATCAAACTTCGATTCACACTTACTGAGGCAAAGACGAAGACGAAGAAGTTCGTCCTGAAGCTGTCGACGCCATTCCCGTTCCTTATCTAATTCACTCTGCATGTATTGTACCGCTGCCTGCTCATTTACTCGGTCATTCGTACGCTTCTGCAAGGAATCAGAGAGTTGACGTGCCTTCAACAACAAAGTTCCCCCATCGCGTGAGGAGGCTCCCGCCGGCGAGCCATCAGCCAATTTCTCACGGAAACGAGAATGCAAAGATGATACGCGTGCATGTCTTGAGGGTGACGCGCTGTCCCTCCCGTTTATTTCTTCCTTCTCTTCCGCTTCTTCCATTCCTTGAGGGTATGAATCGGAGGCAAACGATCCGTTTATCGTCATGTGACTGCGTAAAAAACGCAGTATTTCCAGAAATTTTGTATACGCTGCATTGCAACGTGTGCGCCGAGACAAGTGACATCTCCAACACACTTCCGTCTCTGGCCTCCGCTTACAAACCAGACGCCATTCTTCTTTCTTCCTCTTCCGCTCTCCCATCCTTTGCTCGGGTTCCCTGCCGATGGGGCGAGAGAATATCTAATACGCTTCGTGACAAACTGCAATGTGTTCTATTACAACCCCCCACTTCAGCTCCCTCTGCTGTCTTATGCATATTACCCCCAGATACACTGTGATCGTCATCGTCATCATTAGCAGAAGAAGATTCGCCGAGAAAAAGGCTATATGCAATATGAAGCAGCTGTGACAATTGCACATCTATTTTTCTATACGGAGGTGAATTCACTGCATCCTCTACCTCTGCGTCGCGTTTGAATGCTCGACAATTCCGTCCTTGTGCTTTTTCGCTGAGTGATAAATCGGCTCCCCCATTTATGAATTGGTGGCTTCCGTTACAACTGGAGCACGGCTGCATTCCATCCTGCAAGTGAGCACACCCGCAGTTTGCAAGAGACGAATTCTCTTTATTTTGCACCTGAAGCCTTTGAGAGCCAAACCGATCACCGTCACCCGTGCGGGTTGCCTCTTTTCCCTCTTCCCTCTCCTCGTTATCGTCATCACTACCTACAAAGCTATCCCCACGCACAGATCGCAATATTTGCCTCACCGTGTTCTCAAGTAGCATCTCCCAGCGATAAATCCTCTCCTCCGCAACTGTAGAACCATTTGACCCCTGCTCTGCCGGCGTGCCCTGAGCGATGCGTGAAAATTCGACACAACACTTTTTCATCTGGCTGTGAATAAGACGACGCAGCTTGCGATTTTCGTCTATTGAACGTGAAAGTGTTTTCTGCAGGGTTCGGGCCTTTTTTGTAGTGATTGAAAGTGCCGTTCGTAACTCGTCAAGGTCCGATGATCGGGAAGCCTTACGTGACTCCAGCAACGTAATATCGCAGACATCCTTTAACGTAGTGGAACCTCGTTGTTCTCTACCGGCGTCAGCCTGCTGAGAAGACAGGGTCACCAGAAGCGCGCGTAGCCGTTCATTTTCCTGTAGAAGAAGACCTTGTTTCTGCAACACGTCGTTGATCGTCGTGCTACTCGCCTCAGGGACAGGACCCAGATTCACGCCTTTGGTAGATGAGGGCGACTCACACAGACCAGAATATTTTGGGTAAATTTGATTTTTACGAGCCGTCTCCGGTTGTTCCCATGAGTTACTGGCATTCTCTTCGTCACTCTCGACAACTTTATTTATCGCCCCTTTCGGGTCGTCTTGATTGCATCGAAAAAGTTGCTGCACGGGATATGGGCGGGTATTTCGCTCTGGCAATGATGAAATAGGCCCGGTGATTTTGGTGACCAAACCCGTTTTTGACTTTAATTGCTGTTGAATTGGATTCATCCCTGTCCCCTGCGACGGTGTGGGGGGTGAAAGGTTACGCGAGGGCACATCGTTGCCGTCCCTGCTTACAATATCCTCGCTTTCAATAACAGCAACCTCCGATGGCGGCAACTCAAAAACTGGGGAGTCTTCCGGTTGTGGACGCCGCGGCTCTGTCTTTTCTCTTCGCCGCGGAGAAGACCACAATTGTCTCTCCACTTCGGGTCCGGTTTTTTCTAGAGAAAGAAGGGATTCATGGAGTCGTTGTTTTTGGCAAAGCAGTTGTGGTGGTTGTATCTCCGTTAAGGTTGGAGTTGCTGCCTTGTGGGGGTTGCCTTTCCCGTGTTCCGTACTAAATATGGAAGACACATCCGCCGTTTTGGAGTTTGAGGACATGTAGGGCTGGGCAAACTGATTCGTTGCACGCTGTGCAAACAAAAAAGCACTGCGAGCCTGATAATATTGATCCCAACCAGAGTTGACACACACAATGAGCAGACATTGACCGATTCCTGCAGCTATACACTGAATAACGTTAGTGCTGTTTGTGTCGGTGCTCATCCACCAGCTACCTTTCTCCATTGAAGTATTTGTACTAAATGAGACAACCCGGGCCGCATTCTGAGAGTGGGTGGAGATGTTACTACCCCCAGACGGCGACCTGTCGCTAAAGAGACGACGTCTTTCCTTCGATAGACGCAAATTACGTAGACTTTGCAATAACTGATGGGAGTAGTAAATTGTGGATTCAAACAGGTAGAGAAGAAGTGGAGACTCTCGCAGCGGTACCCAAGAGAATTGGGGGGGTGTTGATGTCGTTGTTGAAAATGACGCATCCATATGTCGATCCGTCGCCGTCACGCAATTCGCGCACTGCGTACGAGCATCGTCCTCTTCCTCCTCCTCTTCTTCTTCAGCGGAAGCCATCTCGTTTTGCCACTTTGTACACGCCTGTAGTGCACCGGCCAAAGCTCCCAACTCTTTTGCCCCTTGTTTTCCATGTGCGGCGGCGGTGCTGTCGGGAAGAAGTATGAGGTGAAACCGCGCTTCCTTTGGAAAACCATCCCTCTGCCAACCCTTTAATTTCTCGCTCTTAGCCGAGTGCACATTCCGAGGTCGTGATACCCCTACCCTGCATCTCGAACTCCTCGAAATAATAAACGTAAGCACCAATGTTGACTTCACGGCGTGATCCTCCTTCTCTGCGTTTGTGCGCAAAGCACGTGGAGGGTCAATGCGTTGCAAGGCACGCAGAAGGCACGTGGAAACGCTGTCCTTATCCTCCAACGTCTGTCGTGTAGGCTCAACAAAATCCATACCCTTTGGTTCATTTAATGAGCGTCGCGGCTCTTCCCGTTTCAGGCGTTGCAACTGAGTGCTGTCATGCATGACAGCGTTGGGGTCTAACGCATCCCCCACTCCCCACGCGTGGTATAAATCCACAAGTGAGAAGGAAACTTCACACATATTCTTCTCCAGGGTCTCCGTGTCCATGGCAGTGGTTTCTTGAATTAACGCCAAAGAGGTAGCTTTTGCGAGATGAAGGAAAAGTGCACGGCGCTCTGTGGCGGAATGACTGCCGTAAATAATAACCGTACGACTCATGGACCAAGTCTTCTTACAAATCCTCCGGCACCTCCTTGCAGTCACGGTATCCCAGCCTTTTTGAGAAATGCCGGGTCCATTGGAGTCCGAACCAGCTGCTGTAGTAGTTTCTGTTGTTGGTGTCAGTGGTCGACTTTCCATTCGAGGCTCGTTGCTGCACAATGGGCGAAGGAAAACACGGCACAGATCATATATCAAAGGGGCCACTTGAGTTACAAAGATATTCCCATGATGAGGGCTGATTGCGACGTGGCCAAATCGGAAACGTGATCTCGACTCATACAACTCATGTGCGGCGCCACTTGCGTACTTCAACGATGCCTCTGTTGAGATGAGGGACGCCTCACATGTGGCCTCGTTTACGACAAGACAACGATTCGGTAGGTGTTGCTGACTATCACGATGATCTCGTCTGTGGGGCAGCGTAATGTGCAGGGCAGTAAGCATTAGAACTGCGGCGCACAGATCATGAAGTGACTTCTCCCTCTTTATATCCTTGTGTGTGTGTGTGTGTGTGTGTGAAGAGTCACTGCAGTGCTTCTTCGCGCTTTTCGGCGCAAGACGCGGCGGGCGCAGAGAGACAAAGGCTTCCAAAAAATAAAAATAAAAAAGGGAATGAGAAATCAACAAACAAAACACCTGCAATTGGATGCGACGCACAAGAGTCAACTGGAAACTGAAATGCCGCGGCAGTGATGCGATGGGGATAAAACAAAAGGCACGGAAAAAAAAACCCAACAAAACTCCACAGACAGACGCTTGCACGCACAATCAAACAAAAAAAAACCAAAGAGAGAGTAGACCGGCCTCTAATTGGACCGTTTGACTCACCAGCGGACCCATCTTCTTCTGCACGAGGCACACGCTGTTGTCCAAACGCATTTCCCATCCAAGAGCCACCACAAATGTCCGAAGTGCCATTTTCACATACACGCAGAGAGAAAGAAAGAAACGAAAAAAGAAATAAACTGGAAACACAGCTGATTATATATATTTCCCTCTTTTACTCCACCCCTCTCACTCTCACTCTCTCTAAAGCACTCATTACCTAAGGGGCCCATAAGCACCACTGCCGGTGTTACCGCCTTCTTTCTTAAAGTTCGAGAGGAAGTTCATTGTGGTTACTGTGCTACGAGCCGCCTTAGCAAAGCGTGAGCCAAAGCTCTCCTCTGCTGTTGCTGCTGATGTCGCCCCCGCCGTTGGCATCGTCGTCGTCGATGCGTTACCGTTGCTCCCAGCACGGCCAACCAAATTACTAAAAGCATTCGAAAACCCACCTGTTGAAGGATGCTCGTACGTGTTGGCTGTCGTCGGTGAGAAAATGTTTGAAATTTTAATTCCACTAGGACTACCGTTACCTGCTGCAGCGGATTGACTCGTGGAGCCTGTGGCGATGCCAAGGGAAGATTCTCGCTGCATATCGCGTTTTGTGGCTTCAACCACTCCTTTTTTGGAAAGATTTGCGATCCACGACCTGACGTCCTCCCGCTTTCGCCCCTTCAGCTCCACAAGCCGCACAAAATTCTGAATAGAGCGGTCATCAGGTAGCATAGCCTCGTAATATACATCAACAAATGTATCCACCGAGGCGTCTACCTGTAAGACCTTCAATGTGCGATTTAGCCGGTCAAATTCGCGTCGCACAAGCTTTATGTATCCCGTTAGATGCGATGGAGCAAAACGGTCAGGATCGTTATAGTTTGGTAGCTGCAAAAAACTTTTCTCAAGCGCAGCGGAGTCCACCCGCATCAGGCCTAAAGCAAAGTCCGGCGGAAGACGACGCATACGATACAAAGTGTCTGTAAACATGGGGATGACGCTGTTTGCCACTTTGTCGAGAAGAAACCGCAAAATTGGAGAGGGCAGTACTGCCGAGCACACCAATACCATGTCGTGCAGCACAGCACTCATGGAACGGATAGGTATGGACTCATCGTGAATATCCTGCTCCTCAGGTCGACGATTGACAAATGCCGCATTGCTGTATTCCACAAGAAAAGGTGCCAATTTTAACTCTGTCCCTTGCAAGATGCATTGGATTGCCCCGCTGTAAAGGGTGGAGAAGGCCTCGGTGACTTGATCAAAGCCAAGTTCCTTCGCAGGAACTTCACCACGGGCACAAACCTCGTCTCCAAGATCTTGACTTGTCGATTGGCAGAGATCCGCCGTATTTACAATGACACATGCGCGACGCATATCTTCTCGTGAAGCTGCAGGGCTGGGGAGCAGTGTTGTAATTGTTTCTGCAAAGCGTATAAGATGCTTTCGCCAAACAGCCGCCATCTCTAACAATACGTCTTGCTGAGAGATACGGATGGTACGCTTAAGACTTTCCTTAATGAAAATAAAAAGGTCCTCTGCTACTGGGAGTGTTGCACCGACATGAATATCCCCCTCGATGCTCCACCCAGGCACAGCTCCACCCGCCACGGCATTTGTACTGCCGGTAGCAATACTTTCCACGTCACTGGATGACCCCACAAGAGAGTGTGAAAGGGCGTCACCCATCAATTTGTCTTCATTACGGACAAAAAGGTCCATGTGTGCCTTAAAGGAGGAGAGAATCATCCCATTGTACCTGTAATCAGGCACCTCGCTGCGCCCGGGAAATTCCTCCTTCCACGCCATCATACGGGTGAGGTCACGCTCAATGTCAATCGTCTTTTGAAGAACGTACGTCAACACAACCACGTCAATATTACCAGCGGCCTCACGAAGAAGATAGTCGAGCTCTGCTTTGGTACGAAGACAAAACGTCACGCAGAGTTCCTGCGGAACACACCAATGACGTGGAAACACATTGAGGAAAAGTCCCTCATTATGCTCAAGAAGATTCCGAATGTACACATATCGTCGTTCTGTGCGCTCCAACTTTGCATCTTCCGATCCACGCTTAAAACGAAGCGAGTAAACCTCCAACATTTTTTCAATAAATTGATCGCGTATTTTCCGAATGCTTTCCTTCCCAAGAAGGTCTACTACTGCGCAGGCTTCTGCCATAAGCGTTTCATCCAGGGAATCAAGGGAAATGTCCCCAAAAACCGTGTGACGAATGTAATGTTCCATCCGTCGACATAACTGCGCCTGTTTATCATTAATTTCCCTCACCTTTGATAGATGCTTCATGCTATCAAACATAACGGAGTATTTCTGCGCTTCCATTAGCGCGTCACGACATTGAATGAACTTGCGGCGCTCAAATGACGTGGACAGTACCTGTAATTGCAGCATCCACAGCTGCATGGAGCGTAGTGTGTTGATGCTCACCGTAAGATTTGTTTTCGCCGTGTCCAATTCACGGATGTGGTGGCAAAGCTCGCGCACGGTATCTTCACTCTTGGCTGTTTTCGCCTTGATGTCCGAGACACGATCGTACAGTGCGACAACGGCAGCCTTTGCGTTGTGGAGGTCTCTGTCCGCGGTGGCGGCGTTGGTCGCCTGCGCCTCAACCGCCTTCAACAAATCGTTTTCTGTCTTCGTCAGGCGGCTTGTCATCTCCTCAAGAAATGCGGGTAACGCGGCGAGACTGGATTCGTCGGGGAAGCGGCTGTTGAGGTAATCCACGGGGTCGAAGTCCGGCTCGTCAAACGGGTCGCGTGGAGGACACACCTCCGCAAGGGCCTTTTCAACGGCGTCGCTGAACCGCACTTTGGAACCGTCCGCCATAATATATGTATATATGTATTTAAATAAAGCACAATGGTGTGTAGATGGACGCCGAGTGCCTGAGACGCCTGCTCCGTCAGACACCAACACGGAACTGCAGCGCAGGCCTTCGCAACTGGTATAAACCGCTACGCTTCCCTCTTCTTCACAGAGACCTCTCCTTCCGTTCCTCAGCCAAAAAAACAGAAAAAAGAAAAGACAAAAAACAAGCACTTCAATTAAACCTTCTCCTCGGCTCATTCAAAGAGTGCAGCCGCAACGCACAATTGGGGATGACAGCCTGGTTCAATGCACTCAACATGCTCGCACACCCCAAAAGGGGATTCACTCCACACTCATGCACACACACAAGAAGTGGCAGTCTTTCGGGCTCCGCAGCCGCCGGACCCCTCACCGTGTGGAGGGCAGTCGTGGCGGAGTGGTCGGCATCTTTGGAGGCAACAATCAAGTAAAAAAGAAAAAAAACACGGTTATATAAACAGGACACGGTATACTCCACCTGACTCCATCCGATAGCACATTCCTTTCCACAAGATTCCAAGAGGCAAGAGGTGTACAGCCACCGCACTGCGCTGAACACCCGAATTCGGGGTCCATCAGCAAAAACACATGCATTGCAATGGTGGGTTTCGCTTCCAGCCCCATAACGGCGGCCCACGGTGCACGGCAGTCTTTCGCGTTGCGTAACACCCTGTTCCTTCGACACCTCTCACTCATGGTGAAAAATGCCACAAAATATCTTTTTTTTCTCTTTTCCCCTTTATCTCGAGCAAATTCGATGGCAGCATGTGCCCTTCAGACCTCATGGTGTTACAACTGTGTGTGCCTCAGCAGAACGCGGCTGGTCCGGGCGCTGGTCGATGCCGTCAGCCCCGCGCCAACAACCGCGACGATCCCGTAAGGGGAAACATTGCTGGCTCCTGGCTTCCCCCTGACAACACTGGGGTAATTGACCTCAGCACAAATTTAATGCGGCCGGCATTGCCACGGTCAAAGTACCGACGACTCCCGCCGTCGCCGACGGCAAAGCTCCAACAGTTTCCCAAAGCTGAGCTTTGAAACAACAACAACAAGAAAAACAAATTTCACAAGAAAAGAGATATGACGGCGATGGCATGCATTCATATATACACGTAGGCAATTATGCACAGAAGAGACAAATAATACTCTTTCCACGGCGTATCCAATCAAACCAGTTCAGACGCAAATATATGCATGTGTGCATTAAGGCCCGGAGTCATTGCCAATTGGTATGGTGACAGAAAAAAAAGCAAAATATTAAACAAAAGCAATTGACACACAAACACACACGAGTGCCCCTTCACAAATTAGCAATATATACCGCACCTTAAGCTTTCAAACAGACAAAAACAAAAACAACAAACCAACAAAAATAAATAAATAAAAATAGGTGAATTCAGAAAAAAAAAAAAAAAAAAAATGCAACATTGTGTAATGAATGCCTCCAAATGTCCGCATTTTTAAGAAAAATCTGCTGGTAATGGCGCTCTTTGCGCCTTATTCTCTTTTTTTTTTTTTTTTCTTCCCCTTTCTTACATTAAATTCCTCCCACCACAATTTATGCTCCACTCCACACACAGTCATTTCTAAATTACACGCAGGGTGCCATTCGATCAGGGCATTTGTCACCATTCATTCATTGCTTCATCTCCATCCAGGGGGTTCGCGTGCTCTTTTTATCATCCCGATTTCCCCCGTTCTTCCAATGCAGAAAACTACGGGTAAAAAATAAATGAAACATACACATAAACACACACACGCCTAAACAGTATGTGCTCGCATCTCATTTGTTTTATTCCACCCCCCGTCCTTCCCTATTAAAGCCCTTCTCTCTTATCTTTCTTCCCCTTTTGTTTACTTCCTTTTGGCGTAGTCTTCCGTCATGCGGTTCACCTCACGCTGGACGTGCTCCTTATAGTCGGCAATGTCGCCATCAAACTTGCGGCAACTTCCCTTATCCACAATCCAAATTTCATCCGCAATCTGCGCAATGAGACGGAGATCGTGCGAAACGACCACGACAGCTCCCTCAAAGCAGTTTACAGCGTCCGCCAAGGCGTCTATGGACTCAATGTCCAAATGGTTTGTCGGCTCATCAAGGATCATCAAGTGAGGAGTTTTAAAGGCCATCCATGCAAACACAACGCGTGACTTCTGTCCATCTGACAGAGTAGACATTGGCGTCATTTGCAGCTTGCCGGAAACACCGAAACGTCCGAGGGCACTGCGCAGAATAGTTGGGTCCGAGACAGAGGAATATTCCTGACCCATCCACTCCAGTGGGGTAAGAGACATGTCAATTTGGTCTACAAAATGCTGGTGAAAGCGGGCAATAACACAGTGTGCATTCTTGGCCACATAACCGGAAGTTGGCTCTAGTTCACGACACATCAGTTTTGTCAGGGTTGTCTTACCAGCACCATTGGGACCTACAAGACAAATGCGGGACTCCATATCGATTCCAAGCTCAAGATCCCTAAAGAGAGGATCGCGGCCGGGGTATGCAAAAGAAACCTCACGGAATTGCAGCATCGGCGGCGGCAGAGGGCCCGCGCAGGGAAATCCAAAGTTGACCTGCCGATCTTTCGCTATGGACTCCGTCAGACCGCCACGTACCATTCGGGCAAGCGTTTTCTCTTTTGACTGGGCCTGGCGAGCAAGTTTGGCGCTGCCATGACCGAATCGGGCGATATATTCCTTCATACTTTTAATTTGGTTCTGTTCCCACTGAAAACGACGCATCTGATTGCTCTCCTTCTCCGCACGGGTGATGCAGTATTGGTCATAGTTGCCATCGTAATACGTGAGTTTGCCACGGGCCATGTGAGCCACTTTCGTGCAGACGTTATTCATAAAGTCCTGTGAATGTGACACCATGAACAGAATCTTTTTAAACTTGGAGAGATAATTCTCCAACCATACAACGGCCTCAATGTCAAGATGATTCGTCGGCTCGTCCAGAAGAAGAACCGTTGGATTTATAAAAAGGGCTTGCGCCAGTGAGATACGCATACGCCAACCACCAGAGAAGGACTTTGTCAGCCGCTGCTGCATCTCAGGCGTAAATCCCAAACCAAACAGAATTTTCCCGGCGCGTGCCTCCGCCGTGTCCGCGTCAAGTTCATCCAATCGCTTGTAAATTTCATCCATGCGCATGTTCACCGCCATGTCTTCCTGGTCCGCAAGTGCCAACTCCTCAAGTTCTTTTTCCAAATTCTCCTTTTCTTTATCGACGGACACAACGGCCTCAAGTGCCGTGATATCCGACGCCTCGACTTCATGTGAGACAAAGTAGCGATCCACGTGCTTTGGAAACGGGATCTCGTGGTATCCGAGCACCTTCAGCAGGGTGGACTTCCCACACCCATTGGGGCCCACAAGACCGTAGCGGTGCCCCGTTACAAGGTTCAGCGTCGCGTTCTCTAGGATGGAAACACCCTGATAGCTAACATCAATCTTTTCAACAAGGATATCGCTCACGCCATCACGAAAGACAGGATTTGCAAAAGACACCATCGCCCCTGAGCTCTGTGGCACATTTAGTTCCGGATTGGCCTGTGATCCCGACGACGACTTCTGCTGCTGCCCAGTCACCGCTGTTGCCTCCTGTTTTTTCTTCAGATATTTTGGCTTTCCCATTATGATGGATGATGGTGAAAACAATAACAACAACAATTATTATTATTATTATTATTATTCTTTTTCCCTCCCTCTTTTCTTTATTTCTCTTTATTAACGATAATAAATTAAAACGCTCAAAAAAAAAATCCTTCTTACTTTCTTCCCTCTCTTTGTTGCTTCTCACTTTTTAAATCCCTCTCGCTCAAACGGACAATAACCGAGCGTGTGTGTTCTTCGGCTAATTGTATGGGCGTGCGTACGTGTGGATATTCACCGCCTCCAAAGGAATCCCACGTATCAATGTTCTTCCTTCACAAATGAACACTCACCGTCGCGGGGGAGGAATTCACGCAAATGTGATATATTTGAGTGTGGAAAGGGGCACGAGAGGGAAGAAGGGGAAGAGCACAGCAGCAATAAGCGGCAAAAAAGTCCCCACAGCAGGCGGAAACAACATGTTGGTCACAAGAAACAATAAAAAGCAACCGCAACAAAGACAACAACAAAGACATAATCATGTCGTGCTGAAATATAGGTTTCCCACGAAGGGTCATGAGCAAACATTTTTTCCCCTTCGGCGGTGGTGGCTCCCAACAAAAACAACAACAAAAAATTGTTAACTTTCCACCTTTTGTTTTCCCTTTTCTGTTTTCATCATGAGTTCCTTCCCGACGTCATTACTTCTTGTCGTTTATTCAGAAAAGGTAGTGAATATGTTATATATCTAACGACACACCTCTGACATCCCTAGTGCGCTGCCGCCTTCCGTTTTTCCGCCTCATGGCGCTTCTGCTCTTGTTCAATCGCGCGCAGGCGTTTAAGCTCCCGCTTTCTGCGCTCCGGCAAGTCTTTGATGTAAGAGCGATGTGACATGGGGATCCAACGCTCCGGGTCAAGGCGGGCGTCGGCGTTCTTTGGAGGACGACGCATTGGACGGCGTCGAGAGCGCTTCACCTTGGCGCCATTGTTATTGCCGTCATGACCATCCGCTGAGATGCGATGATACCCAAGCGCCTCAATATGCTTCCGGGATGGCTGCTGTGACGTTGCTTCGGCAATGGATGACGCGAGCAATTTCTTTTCCGTTTGTGTGCCAGTAAATCCAGCCTCAGGGATCGTTTCCATGCAAGTCCGTGCCGCCTGCATGTCGTAATGCGAAAGACACAACGCCAACAGAGCCCTCGCTTCTTTGTCGTTTTGCAGCACCGGCAGAGCACTTTGCATGTCGCGGATAACATCCGCTGCGTCTGCGTAAAGTCCTCTTGCGGTCAAAAACTGCACGGCCCAGAAAAGGATCGGCTTCACCACGGTCCCCCCCTTTGCTGCTGCTGCGGCAAACTCTGTGAGAAGCTGCTTTGCTCCCTTCACATCGCCAAGTTGAACTTTCCACGTCGCCAGCGTCATCAGAGTACACGGTTTTTTCCGGATTTCTTCTGGTGCAGAAGAAAGAGACTCAATGGCATGTTCAAGATCCCCGTTTTCGAGAAAAATCTGTGCGGCAATAAGTGGGAGCAATTTTCCCACAGAAGGGTTCCGTGCATGTTCTTTCTGCGCCCTGACACTTTGCTGGTAGTTCTTTAGGTACTCCGTGAGGGTTTTTTCGTCAGGCTGCCGCTTCTTCTTGCTCTCGCGAACTGCCAGCGCCAGCTTCAGTGAGTGTGTAAGATCTGAATCCGGGTACTCGTTGGCAATAAGTTCCACCTGCCGCTTGAATGCATTGAAGTTTCCCGTATGCAAAAGAAGCATCGCCGTGTTGTATCGCACCAACAGGCGCTGTCGGGATGTTAATCGGTTGTTCACAGCCGGATTCTGCGCCGACTTCAGTTTACGATGCGTGTCAAAGAAATCGCGATGACGTTGAATGGCTGTCCAATTGATTGACGCCACCGCAAGCGTGACGGCCGACGAGGGCCGGTACCGCAGCACCAAGTTGAGAAGGGCGGTGGCATCCTCTTCATTATGCATGGCGTAGTGCACATATGCCGTCTGGACCCAAATGATGGCGACGTCATTAAAAAATAAACGTTCCGGCGAGCCCTTAACGTCAAGCAACGACCGAAGCTCCGTGTCGCTTCTTGAACAGGCATCTTGAAAAGACCGCAGACGACTTGTGGGATAAGCTTTTGCACAGAGAGATTCTGCCTGCTGTAACGTCTGAAGCGCGGCTGCGTACTCCTGCACCTCCAGCTGTGCCGTCGCGGCATTATACAATAAATCAGCGTTCTTTTCATCTGCCGACCGCACGATGGATTGGGTCCTTTGCGCGTCAATGGCGGAACAGGCGGCCGCATAGTTCGTCTGTAACTCTGTCTTTTCATGCTCGTCCCGGAACTTTCCCTCCGTCAGTAGCGCCTCGTAGATGCCGGCGGCCGCCTCATACTCTTCGAGGTGGTAATGCAATTGCGCAAGGAGATGCCGCGATGGCACGTGTTCCGCTGTGTGCGGGGCATCGTTCATCAAGACATGTTGTGCCTGGCGGTGCTCCAGCGCCCTGTACAGACAATAGGCCTTTTGAAAGGCATAGTCCTGCGAGACCTGAGGCAGCGCAGGGTCCACGACGGCAATCTGATCAAGTACCGTGAGCGCGGCGGCGTGCTTGTCTTGATGCAAAAAGCAGACAACTTTACAACGAAGGGCAAACACATGTTTGGGGTTCACCGAGAGAATCTTCTCAATCGTCGTCAGTATCTTGGATGAGTCGCTGCCGTCCACCAGCAATCGCTCCAGCTGCTTCTCCCACTTCGCCACGTCAGACATAATTAAAGAAAAAACAAGAATATGAATCTTGTGTGTGCGTAAACACTTTTCGTGGCCCCGTGTGATAAGAACGTGTACCCGCGCCCCGCAAACAGTTGAGAAAAAAAAAAAGGAAAGGAACAAAACGGAGCTCAACCCACACATGCGCGTACACACACGTCTCTCCAGGTGACGTACAACGTTCGAACACACCGCCAGCCACAAAGAGTCTGATAAGGGGACGCAATCACACACACACAAAAAAAAAAAAAAAAAAAAACAGCACAAAAATAACAGTACCATACCGCATGAAGACAAAACAAAACAGTGAATGGTCGTTATAAATAGCAGTTCCGTTCAAAATGCAAAGGCAATTGACGGGGAGGGACAGCTAAGCCGACAAAGTAACAAGCGGTCCTGCAAAAACAGACGGCGTAATGCAGCGCAACAACAGAAGACAACACAGAGCTTCTCCCTGTACTTCTGCCCCTCGTCACCGGAACTTTTCCCTCTCCTCCATCCATCCTTCCCTCTCATCTCCGCCTCAGCGCTCGCAGCAATTCCCCAGTGACGCGTTCCCTTCTTCCTTTCGTCTGCTCCCTCGTTTCAGGGCAAAAAGCCCTCGCTTGTTCTGTCATCTGCTGCCTCACCCGTTCGCCACTCCTCCGGCGTCCCCTGACACAGAGGCAAGCGTGAAGTAAATGCCCCACCGCCCATCCACCGCCATGTGCCAAACGAGCACGGAGGCCAAAACAGAGGCACAGTCGCATATTTTTCCCGCAGTTGTGACTGCACCTCTTCGGGCTCCTTTTTCTCTCTCATACTCCGCAAGAAAAAAAAAACCGCACGCAAGAGCAACAGTCACGCACATTCCCCTCCCCATGCACAGCTCTCCGGACACATTCGATCCGCCTCATCGCCATGCGTCCGCACCGGTTTCCGTATCGCGGATCTCCTGCTGCACCATTTCATCCACCAGCTCCCCGAAGCTGTACGTGGTCCTCCAGCCGAGTTCTCTCTCGGCCTTGCTGGCGTCGCCAAGCAGCGTTTCCACCTCCGCAGGGCGGAAGTAGCGCGGATCCACACGAATCAGCGGCACTTTCTTCGGATCCGCCACGTCGTACGCGACCTCATCAACGCCGCTGCCGGACCACTCCAGCTCGTAGCCAAGCTTCCTGAACGTCAAGTTGCAGAACTCCCTCACGCTGTGCTGCTCGCCCGTCGCCAGCACCCAGTCGTCAGGCTTCTCCGCCTGCAGCATGAGCCACATGCCGTGCACGTAGTCCTTCGCGTGCCCCCAGTCACGCAGGGCATTCACGTTGCCAAGAAGCAGCTCCTTCTGCAGACCCTTCTTGATGCGCACCGCAGCCCGCACTATCTTCTTCGTCACAAACGTCGCGCCGCGTCGTGGCGACTCGTGGTTGAACAGAATGCCGTTGCACGCAAACATACCGTACGACTCACGGTAGTTCACTGTGATCCAAAAGGCGTACAGCTTCGCCACCGCGTACGGGCTGCGCGGGTGGAAGGGCGTCTTCTCCGTCTGCGGCA